TCCCTCCTCCCTCCTCCTCCTCCCTCCTCCCTCCTCCTCCTCCTCCTCCTCCTCCTCCTATACTCATAACAACGTCATGGCAGCCCATCCGCATCTTCGATCAGGACGTGCGTCCCAAGAAGCTCATGCCAGGGGTCTCGCTGCGCGTACAGAAGGTGGGAAGGGGATAGAGAGGGGGGATGGGGGGAGGAAGTGGGGAGGGGAGGGTGTTGCAGGGGAGGATAGAATGGGGTTTGAGAGGTTGGAGACAACTGACATGTTCGCAACAGTACAGTGACTGCTGCAAGTCGACGTATGACGGAACAGCAGCCAAGACGGAGAACCCGGCGCTCAGCAGCTAGAGGGCACAACAACACGTACACCTTTACTCGGACAGAAAATTACACGCTCCTTTCAAACTCACACGCTCACTTAAGAGCCGTCGGGTCTGAGACAGTGGACTCCTGCTTCACTGCGCTCCTGGTCCTCGGGGTTGACGACTTGGATAGCAAACTCTCAGGAGAGGAAGACCCCTTGCTGTCGCTGCTGTCTTGAGTTGATGAACTTGACGATCTTGTCCATAGGCTCTTGAAAGTTATCAACCCCCCTGGCAGTAGGTTGCTGCACGTCTCCAGCTCCAGGTCCATGATGGAAGTCGACAGCAGGTAGCGGAGCAGCCTCAGGCAGCTCATGAGCAGATAGCAGACGAAGTCCCAGATCTGCTCATGGACGAAAGTGTCGTGAGGCGCTGCCAACTCGAGGAGATTCCGTGAGCTCATGGCCCTTGCGAAGTAATCGTTCTCAAACGCCTCTATCACATCACTCAACCGCCTTCTCCTGTCCATCGGTGTGGGGATGGGCGAGCTTCGCTTGGTTCTTGGCGAGGAAGGGATCGTTAGCTTGAGTCTGCAAGATCCTCTGCTTGGTGAGCGGACGGGGGAAGAGGACCGGGAAGACGCTCTAGAGAGGGAGACTCCCGTACTCTCCAGCAGCCATGACTTGCCGACCTCGATTCCCTCTGCCCTGCTCAGCTCAGAGAAGAAGTAGAGATCATTGCTGTGCATATCCATCACCCTCCTGTTCAGGCTGAGTGGCCGGCGGCAGCATGACCCAGCAGAAGAAGACGCGCACGACCTCGGTGTCGTTATCGCTTCTTCCGAAGAATCTTTCTGCAGCCCTGCACCCATCTTCTCTGCATGCAGGCAAAGGCTCCCTGCGAGCTCGTTGCTCTTCGCTCCTGCATGTTCGCTCCCGTCTCCTACCTCCCGCCTCTCTCCTTCCAGCGCGAGCATGCCGCTTGCACCGTTGGTCGCGCCGATCTGCGCCATATAACCTTGCCTTTTCCTTTCCCCTTCACACTGTACCAAATTTACTACAGTAACCCGCCCCCTACGATCCGCCGGGCGCTGAAAGATAAAAGTTTGAAACTTTGACAGTAAAAACTTGAAAAGTTTGAGGCGTCCATAGTTCAAAACTTGAAAAGTTCCAAAATGTTTGAGTGCGACTATGAAAGTTTGGAGGTTCTTCGAAAATTCAAACTTTCAAAGTTTTAAAGTTCGAAGCTACGCCCGCCGGGCGCCATGGCCCAACAGCTAGTACAGAGGGAGCAGATCGGAGAGCAGATGGGAGAGGGGGAGGGGAGGGAGAGGGAGGGAGAGGGAGGGAGAAGAGTGATGGTAGCAAGGTAGGAGCGGAGAGGGAGAGGGAGCGAGGGAAAGAGAAGGAGGGAGGCAGGCAGGCAGGCAGGCAGGCAGGCAGGCAGGCAGGCAGGGAGGGAGGCAGGCAGGCAGGCAGGCAGGCAGGCAGGCAGGCAGGCAGGCAGGCAGGCAGGCAGGCAGGCAGGCAGGCAGGCAGGCAGGCAGGCAGGCAGGCAGGCAGGCATAGACAGAGGAGAAGACGACGGAAGACTGGAAGTATTGCACACCAGGCACGCAGTAAGAGAGAGAAAGCGGAACAGCTAGGGGCAGGCAGCGAGGGAAGGGGATTGATGAAGAACGCCTACAATGACGAAAATGCGAATTACGTTTGACTTTTGATGGATTCGTAGGTCAGACCATGTTTGCACCTCTCCATCAACTACCAGATGACGACGAGTACAACATCCCGCGTTCTCCCAGTGAAGCAGAGGAGGAGGAGGAAGAAGGGAACGCAAAGCGCTTCTTGCCCTGCCTCACCAAAGTCACTCTACTAGGGACCCTCTTCCTCGTCCTCCTCATGAGCGTTCTCCTGGTGGGTGACATTTCCTCTCGCAGCTCTCCTATCTGCCAAGCCGAGGTCATCATTGTACGCCATGGTGAGAAGCCAGCAGACTCCTCCGACAACGGTCTGAGCATGGTCGGGCATGCACGTGCCGTCTACATCTCCAACTGCTCGCTGCACGTGTCAAGGATCCTAGACAGAGGACCTCCGAACCGCCTCGTCGCAGCGAGGACAGAGCCAGGTAAGAGCTCTCGAGCCTTCGACACGCTCCTCCCCCTCTCCGAGCAGCTCGGGCTGCCGGTGGAGAGCTCCATCGGCAAGAAAGACATGTCGTCTCTCCTACTCCTCCTCAGCTCTCTCTCCTGCGGCGACACTGCCCTCGTCTCCTGGCACCATGAGCTCATCCCAGACATCGTTCGCTCCCTCGGCGCTCCCAACGCCGAGGACTTTGCGGCCTGGCCCGATCAGTGCCCGTAAGTGCCTCTGCTCGGCTTGTGCTGACCATGACAGTGAGCTGGACGGCAGGTCGGAGAGCTGGCCGGAGCCTTCGTGGCTGCCGGGGAACAGCGTGTGCTACGATGAGGTGTGGAAAGTGAGGATAACGGCAGCGGGCAAGACGGCGGGCAGGAGGAAGAAGAAGCTGAAGGGGAAACTGCGAGGATGGTACGCGGGGAACGTAGAGAGATTTCAACAAGGTGAGGAAATGAGGGGGGGATGGAGAGGAGTGAGGGAACAGGAGAGAGAGGGGGGAGGAAGGGAGGGAGGAGGGAGGGGACAGGGAGCTGAAAGGGGGAGTATGAGGGGGCAGTGGGGGGAGAGGGGAGGGAAGAAGGAGGATCAAAGGGCTTACAAGGCTGCAGGGTTTGCAGGAGTTGCAGGAGGGAGATGCCGACAAGACTTTCAGAGGATATCATAAGGAGAGGAGGAGGGAGCACATGAGCGCAGGATTGGGAGGGAGCGAAGAAAATGGGAAAGAAGTATGCTGGTGATTGTATGAGGGAAAAGGATGAGAAAAGAAAATGTGACATGTAGATCCAAGACGAGAAGAGAAAGCAAGAAGGAGAAGTGAAAGGGAAAAAGAGAAAAAATTCAATGTCAATCGTACGGATTGATGAAGCTTGTAGGACACTCCTGCGAAGGAATTGATCTGAACAACCTTGAGATCTTGTTTTGCCTTGTTGTAAATATCGCACAAACAACAATCAATTCGTCTCCCTGCCTCGTGCCTTCCGTTTCAAAATCAGTTTAACGTGTTTCTCGTCATTGCCCATAGAGAGGAGTGTTGTTCTTTGATGCGATCTTCTTCACCTGCCGCATATCGTGAGAGACGATGCAGTAGATGGAACAAGACAACGATGTCAACATGAACAGAACCCGTGAAGACACGACACCACAAGAATCGCATCAGGCAGGAATGCTATTGCCCTCCTCGCCTCTCTTCTACCGCCCCTCCCCTTACCCCCTTGACCCCTTACCCTGCTCCTGCTCCTTCTTCCTCCTCCTTGTTCCTTCCTCCTCCTGCTCCTCTCCTCTGCTCTACACCACTACAGCAGCGGCAGCAGGCATCACCTCATCAAACATGTATGCTCTGATCTGATCCCTCGACAACTCCATCCTGCCATCGTCGTCAGCAACATCTCAAACCTCCTACCCATCCTCACCCCTCAAACTCCCACTCGAAGTGCGAGTCGCTCTCAGGCTCGTCCTCAGGGTCGTGGTACTCAGCCAGGTAAGGATGCTCTAGACATTGCGCAGCCTGAAAGATAATGAGAGCAGTGATCAGCTAGAAAGAAGAATCAAGGGATGGGGGAAGGGCGGGGGCGGGAAGCAGCAAGAAGGAGGGAGGAGGCGAGGAGACGGGAGCATAGGAGGGTTGAAGGGAAACGAAGAGGTTGAAGGCAAAGAGAAGGAGAGGAACGGAGGAAAAAGACAGCAAGGGGAGAGAAATGCAGGACGCAAGGAGAGAGGGACAGCCAGGGACGGGAGGAGAGGTAGGAAGGGAGCAGGAGCAAGGGGAGGGGGGGGGAGGAGCTGGAGGGAGCAAGGGGAGGATTTCTCACCGTCGGCCTCTTGTGCGGGTTGAACCTCAACATCATACTCAACAAGTCTGCGAGCATTCTCAGCTACAACCCAGCTGGAACTTGACATGGAAACCTATGGCCTCGGGTCTTGCCTTGGGGAACCTTTCCTTGAGTGGGACGATGCGGGTTGGCTAAGGGAAACTCGTCAGTCCTGCTCATCCCGTCTTGCCCCCTCCCCCCTCCTCCTCCCCTGTTCGTCCCTCCCTACCTCCCTCCCATCATCCATCTATCCCTTCATCCCTCGCTCCCTCCCGTCCCTTACTGTGTAGAACCCCCTCTGTTCTGCTATCCCACGCCTTCCTCCTCACCTTGGGCAGCTTGCGGATGTATTCTCGAACTTCCGGGTTGGGGACAACCTGGTTCCGCGTCAGTGACTGGGTTGCAACGACGAGGACTGAGAAAGAGATAAAAACAAGGAGGAGGAGGAGGAGGAGGAGGAGGAGGAGGAGGAGGAAGGGGGAAGAAAACGCCCAAGAAGTGCTTGTGGGAAAGAAAGCGGAGAGGGTGAGAGGGGTCGGGGTTTCCAAAGAGAAGAGGTAGGAAAGAGGAGGAGTCAAGGTGAAATAAACCTGCAGGTCTTCCTCTGCAGAACAAGCCAAAACCGACGAATCCAGCGTCAGACCCCTCGCGGTAGGCAAGAAATTGTGCTGACCTGTCGGCGGCCCCACAATCTGAAAAATGACAAGCAGCTGGTCCTGAAAGATGAGATTTAGTGGGACCTGGAGACTGGAGAAAGGAGAGGAGAGCGAGAAGCAGGGGGGAGAAAGCATGGGAGAGGGAGACGGGCAGGGGCAGGGGCAGCAGGGAAGGTGAAGGAGGAATCTCTTGGAGAAGGGCCCTCGAGTGAGACCGTGTGCCTGTTACCTGGTAGTTCTTTCCTTGCAAGAACGCTTTTCGGCCAAGAATCTCCGCAAAGATGCAGCCCACAGACCTGATCGGCATCCTGTTACTGGGACGCAGCTGGGAGGCAGCTGGGAGGCAGCTGAAGGAGCTCCTGATCTTTGTGCAAGGGAGGATCTTCGGATTGAGCAAGAGGGGGATGCATCTCAACGAAGGTGGGGGGACGAGTTCGAAGATGAGGGGGCATACCAGATGTCGATAGCTTCAGTGTAGTTCTTGAGGTACAAGAGCTCTGGTGCCCTGGGATAGCTATCAACACCTCTCCCCTCCCCAGCCCCACATCGCCCCTCTATCCCCCGATCCCCTTTCCTCCTCCTCTTCCAACGAGGAGCATGCGTCTCACCTGTACCATCGCGTGACGACATAGGCTGTCATCGTTGATGGGTTGGTATCCTTGTAACATCTTCAGCACATCATCGACAGGCTCCTCCTGTCTACCTCCTCCAGCCTCGCCAGGCCAAAATCGCAGATTTTCAAGTCACAGTTGCTATTCACTGCATAGGCACCGAATCAGCACGAGCTGACCTTCTTTCTCTCCCTCCCCCTCCCTCCCTCCCTCTCTCTCTGATTCTCACCAAGGAGATTTCCGGGTTTGAGATCGCGATGTAGCACTCTGCAAGCAACCAGAACGTCAAACCAACAGAGGGCTGAAAGAGTGCCTAGGGCTGGGTTGCCTTGCGCTGTGAAGGTATTTCAAGCCTCGGCAGACTTGGTAGAGGAAGTACTTCACAGTCACAGTCAGAGAGTTGGAATGTGAGCCTGCTGTTCGTGTACCTGACAATGGTCGTCGATCAGAGGCTGCGGGGAGTAGATAACCTGCAAGTAAGTTCAGCGGGTATGTTCAGCCCTGACCGTCTCGCTCTCCAAAATCATCTAACCTTGGACAAGTCGGTGTCGAGAAGCTCAGTGATGATGTAGACGTCTTCATGCTTGCCTGTTCATCACTGTCAGCACAGCTGATCAATCCACAAGCCTCCCACCATTCGGGTCCAGCGGCATGTGCAGATCCTTGATGCAGAGGACGTTCTCGTGATCGAACGAGCACAGGAGCCTGTCGACGATCATTCTCAGCTTCCTCTTCATCATCAGACTGCGAGCCATAACGACCTGATCTCGCGTAGAACTCTCTTCGCATCAACAAGGTCATCAAAAGCATTTTTGACCTGTTGACAAGGATTTAAACGTCCACACCAGGAGTGAATGGCAGCAATACCTTCTTGACCGCAAGACGCTCTCCTGTATCCTTGTTCGAGACGGCGCAAACATGACCATACGCTCCTTTGCCAAGAAGCTTGTTCTGCAGCGGCACGTACTGTTCATGAACGTTACAGCCTTTCAGACCGCTCCAGCAAAGCTCGCATACCTTATCTGGGATGGTAAAGATTTGATTCTCGATAGTGAAAGTCATCCTGCGATGGGGTAAGAGCACAGGAAGCAAGCACGACAGTCTGCGCATCACCTGAGCGGATTGAGAGCCACAGGAAGACGAAAGAGATTCTGTCCCTAGGGACCGATAAAGAGCAAGGGGACGCTGTGACCCCTTCGTGTGTCCTGTCTTGACTAAAGCTTCTTGTAGCGCTGCTCAGTTGCCAACGATTTCCTGCTACCATAGGCAGGGTGAGCATCGATCAAGACGTCCAGCTTTGTGGTGTCAGCTCATGACCGAAGTCAGTCCAATGCTGCTTATCTCAACCCTCTCCTAGTCACCGTAGACATCTCCATTCTGTTAGACCATCTCCATTCTGTTAGACCTTCTCCATTCTGTTAGACCTTCAAGCGCGATACAAATCATATCTTGCCAGCCGTTTTTCTCACCTCCGCTCACACTTCAAACTGATTGACTAGTCGCTCACTATCACAAGTTCGCATTAAAACACAAGAGCTTCTCATTTTTCTACGATGTTGTGTTATCATTTCAAACCTGTTACTGAGAAATCCCACTGTTGAACTTTGTCACAAACTCATCCCGAGCTTCCCCACACGCTTTGAATCCAACCAAGAATGTTCGAATGATGCATAGTAAAAACAAACCTATTGGTCAATTCGTGAAGTTTTCTAGGCTACCCATCACAGCCATCAGAATCTCGCTGACGCGACCTCAAACTTCAATGACCTTGCAAGTCAACTTTCTCAACACAATGACGATGTCAAAAACATTTCTAGTCAATGAATGCATTGAATATCACCACCACGAGCAATTCTCGTCTCTCATATGCGAGCCATTCCCTCTCTTTAGCTTGAATCCCATACTTTCCCTGCCTTGACCACCGGCATCTTCTTGACTCCATTAGCATATCCCATGAGTTGATCGTAGCTGTTTTCTTCCCATCTCTATTCTTCTGATTCATTCATCACGTACAAACCTTGTCGTATCGCCTCGCTTCCTCTCCTCTCTCTCTTCTCCACCACATTCCTCTTTCCATTGCCCTCCCTCCGCATCGCGGCTACGGGCGCACCCTAAATAAGTGTTATAGTCAATATTTTACTCCTGGACCCACCCCCCTGTGATTTCATCTCAGGACCAGGTAGTAATGGGAAGTTTCCAGCTAAACGAAAGGGACACAGAGGATTTCGGTTTGGTGTAGGGTGGTGGAAGGGGGTGGGGTGGCCGATCTGTATGTGTTGTAGTCAAGATTGCCCGTTTGCCAGGGCGAGGGGTATTTAAAACAGATGTTTTAAAAGTTGAAAAGAATAAAATATAAAATTATTTATTATATCATGCAAGTTTTACAGTACGATATAAAAATAGATGTACTTCATTTAAAAAGAACTCCGTACTGATATTCTTCACTGGTACTAAAAGGTATCTACTGTGGGTCTAAAAAGATATGAGAGAAAGGGGTGGAACAGTCGGCTACATTTTATAGTAAAACGTTTTACAGTGTCAAGTTCCGAGAAAACTTCTGACTGAAGTTTAAAAACTTTCAACTTTCAGAGCCGGCGCTAGTCAAACTTTCAAGTTCGGAAGTTCGGCCACGCTCACCGAGCCGCCGCTCACCCGGACCGTACGGTGGCACCGTCGAGAGTCCGACGGTCGGGACCGAGCCTCGGCGGCCCGGGGGCCGGCCGATCTCGCGGCAATGGCCACTGAGTCACCGTGAGTCAACTTGCAAACTTGCAAAACTTGTGACTCGACTTGAAAGTTCAGTGACACGAAGCCGCACTGCGGCCCAATTTGCACCGTCTCCGTCGAAAATACTCTACTCAGCGATTGCACGCCATGCTATCATGGATGCTGAGCGGCGCTGCCAACGGTGTGTGCCTGTTGGCAGCGCCAGTGTACAGTGAAGCGGCAGCGGCCCGCTGCCACGGTGACCCTGTGCTGAGACCCAGCTGCCAGGCTTGACCACAGAAGTCTACCCGTCCCGGGCCGATGATTGAAACATTGATGAGTCGGTTTAAACGACGCGAAGAGATACAACTTCAAGCAACATGGTTAAGATGGACAATACTAATCTCTCTGCTCGAACAGCAGACTCCTCGCTCGTCCATCGCACACTCAAGCATTGATATACACAGTTATGTCCGAAAGGATATAAACAACCAACGCAGCAGACGCAGTTGCACCTGATCGCAAAACAAGAACAAGTTAATACGAACAACAGACAACACAGAGATTGGCAGGCAGGCAGGCAGGCGTTTAGGCGGGCGGTGACAAAGAAAGGAATTCGCAGTCGGCTGCTCACATAAAAAGCTGAGAAGGAAGTAGCCAATATCAAAATTTTTTCCCTCCCCTGCAACAAGAAGATCCTTCAGGAAATGCGTCACGATCGGCAAGAAATCATACCACTGTTGGTCCAAGATCGGAAAAGCCAACTTCCTGTCATTCTCAAGCATCAATTCACACATCCATCGCACTGACGGCCTGCACCTTGACTTGAGGCTCGTTTTGAGTTTTTCTTCAGCTTTTTCGCAAGGTGCCCAGTCCCAACGCCCAACTCTCCTTCCAGCTCTTCACCCTGCACCCATCGCTCAGGACCCTTCAGACCATGTCGAACATGCCCACCTTGATCAATCGTAGGCTCTTCCATTTCTGCTTGAACTCATTGCGTGACCGCAAAGTCTGGGCGACAGGTCAGTGTCAGGCATCACGGTACGGTGCCTTCATGCTCACCTGTTGAGGATCCGCTTCGGCACTCTTCGACGAATTCTGCAATCACATAAGTGCTATCAGCAGAACCCCAGCACTGTCTTGCCTCTTCCTGAAGACCGAGTTCCCTGGCAACTGCATTCGCTTGGCGGCGAACGCGAGCCTGATATATCAACATCATTTCGACTGAAAGTATCGTCGTGGTAGATCTTGACCTGCCCGATAAACGCAAGGCGGCTTTTCAACACTGGATATTTGACCTGCGAGTCAAGTTATTACAGTACTTATCCAACAACCTGAAGGCAGACCATAAGCTCTTCAAAATCTGTTCTCAGCAACTGACAACCGCACACGTATCAGTTTGATTAAGAGAGGACTGACATCTTCACCTGTAGCAGTTCAGCAGGCCCCGAGTCTCCGTCCTGAATGCCCCTTTGTCTCGCATGGGAGGCATCGCATCCCAGGGAAACAACATCTGCGATGCGTTCCTTGGAGACTGTAAGAGCAATCTCTCCAAAAAAGTCTCCTGCAGGGATGTTCAAGGTCAGAAATAATGAAGTTCCGGCGACGAAAGCAAACCCGTCTGCAGGTGATCGATGGGGCTGCCATTGCACAAGACCTACATGATTTTGTGAGGACGTTCACAACCGCAAGTCAACAACTCACCTGGACTGCACCATTGTCGATGAAGTACATACTATCACCAACTTCGCCTTCCAGACATTCAGAGCACAACGACGGAAGGAAAGATGCATACCAGCTCGAATCACATACTTTCCAGCCGGAACCTTCAGTGATCGGAGTTTTGAAGCAATCTCTTGCAAAACCCTTGCATCTGGAAGATTACAAATCAGAATGAACCTGGACAAACAACGTAATTCATACCAATGCTCTCGAATATTCTCAGTTTCCGAATAAGCAAAAAGGCACGATGGGAACTGAGTTGTTGGCATTACCAACCACAAATGACAAGATCTCTATGATATACGCGTGTAGTCGGGTAGTGGAGGCAGTATCCTCATTCATAATCCAGGGATGGTTGAGGCACTGCAAATTAGGTTTACAACTTGCTTTGAAGGCATGTTCACTCCGCACCTGAGCCGTGTCTAACCTATCTTCGGGATTCACGACAATCATCTTCGAAACCATGTCCTACAAAGGGTTGTCAGGAAAACATCAAAGTCGTGGCAACAATAAGTACCTTCGCCTGATCTGATACAGAGTCCCAATACGGCGACAGGAAATAATATTTTCCTCGTTTGATCTGTTCAAACAACAGCGCTCTACAACCATATTCACATATCAGAATTATCGAAGATATTCCTAACAAGCTGACCGGTTCTCATCTGCAAAGGGAGGAAAGCCACAAAGCATTACATAAACGACAACACCCAGAGACCACAAATCGATCTTGACAGCCATGTCAGAGGCCTACAAATGTTGAAACACATCTCAACCTTGCAATCGTATCCTTCCGGTGCATCCCCCTCCTGGCTCAACACTTCAGGAGCAACGTAAGCAGGAGTTCCACAAATGGTCTTCATCGCCCCGGATCCAGTCATGAACTTAGCCAACCCAAAGTCAGCCAGTTTGATGGTGTTGTAGTCAGGTGATCTTGGGTCATTCGATGCGTAGAGGATATTTTCTGGCTTCAGATCTCTGTGAATGATTCCAATGTTGTGAAGGTATTGCAAGGCGTGCAAAACTTGCTTAGTGACATTGCATGCCAAGTGCTCTGAGCACATGTCCAACTCCACGATACGATCCATGACGGTTCCCCCAGTAATCAGTTCGAGGATGAGATAGGTATTCTGAGGCTCGTCAAACACCTGCAGATTTTCATCAGAGAGCGAGGGACCAACCAAATGATTCACCTGGTACAGTGCAACACAATTAGGATGATCACATTGCATCATAGTCGCAATCTCTCTATCCAGTGACTCTTCATTGAACAAAGCATCCCTCTTTGAAACAATCTTGATCGCCACCGGGGTGCCAGTTTCAATGTGTCTTCCAGCTTTGACCACAGCAAATGATCCCTCGCCGATAGTCTTTCCGATCTCATAGCTCTTGCGAACTCCTTTCAACTCAGACATTCCTGCAAATTTGACCTAATCTTCTCCTGGCGTTATCTTACACGGCCAGCACCACGAAATCGCTTTGCTGCAATACAGTCACCGCGGCGCGTAAGAATAAGGATAATCGATCTCACCAGGATTAATATCGCAACGTCGACCAAGTGATGGCCTTTATAAGGTACACAACCTGATAACAATCATGGACCAGATTCTGTGTTCGAGTCTGCGAGCCAACAGCATTCAGTTTGAAGGTGAGGTATGGATGTTGTACGGCATGGCACTGGAGGAACGAAACTATCTCAGGGAGCAAATCATGATCAAATATCAACAGCATTGAAATGTGTAAGGTAGCTGTGAAAAGACCCGATGTGTCCCATCTCACTAACTCATGCTGCAGCAGGAACTTAGAAATGGCCAGCAAAGAAGATGCTTTCGGGAGTTTTACATCAGCAACCGGCATCAGTTTGACACGGAGAAGGAAGATAAAATTCCAAATCTAAGTTGAAAATAACAGCAGGTCTATTTTGTAAGAGAACGATGAGAGCTAGACACAGCATCATGTTCTACAAGGTTATTTGCGTATGAGAGGTCCAATCTTCAGCAATGAGTGAGTGAGAGGTCAGTGACAGGGCATGTGAGAGCATGAAGCATAAACATATGAAGGGAAAGGAGGAGGAGGAGAGGGAGGAGGAGGAGGAGGACTGTGATGTTGCGGAAAGAGACTAATTGTGCATTCCGTCTTGCAATAGCAAGTGCATGGTTCCCGCGTCTCCGCGTCAGCGGGGAGGGCGAGGGGGTGGTATCAACAATGGAGGCTCGTAGGGACGGGTACCGGTACAATAAACCACGTGAGAAGGTTTATTTGAGGGTAGGGTAGTCAAAGGAGAAGGGTGGGGTGGGCAGAGACAACAGTGCAAGGCGAGGAGCGGGTGGGGTGAGCGAAGATATTAAAACGTTTTAATATCATTACGGGGAATAGGAAAAGAAATACATTACGGTACCGTTTTAAAATACATGTTGCTGTGTTGTCGGGCGCTAACGACCGGGGGCTGAATTTCAAATCTCTCGATCATATTTCAACTTTTCAATGGGAAGGCACCTAGAATCAGCGACTATGATTCGAAAATGCACTGGGTCACGGGTACCACCCCTACCCCTAGGGGAAATCAGTTTTTGCGGAAGGGGACCCAAGTCATATCCGGAACTAGCAGGTACGACAAAGTCTAGCTGTGATCACGGTGCTGCCTTTGAATTTCTGTTTGCAAAAGTGAGTTTTTCATTCGTGCGCGCGATCAGCCTTGCTCACGGGTTTTCGCATGCTATGCACCCTGAATGCTTTCAGTGGCGAAACAGGAGCAGGTGCAGGAGCAGGAGCAGGAGCAGGAGCAGGAGCAGGAGCAGGAGCAGGAGCAGTATCAGGAGCAGGAGCAGGAGCAGGAGCAGGAGCAGGAGCAGGAGCAGGATGGATACCAAAGTCGTGCATGTATGCGGGTATGGAGGTAGGGGAAGGGAGTGAGGGAAGTGATACAAGGAGAGTGGAAGGGAAGGGAAGGGAAGGGGAGAAAGGAGGAGAAGAGAAGAAGAGGGGAGGGGACAGGACAGGACAGGACAGGACAGGACAGGACAGGACCTGAGGAGAGGAGAGGAGAGGAGAGGAGAGGAGGAGAGGGCGATTCGAGACAACACGAGCATGACATAGCTTGACAGGTGCAGGCTGAGATGGAGGTGAAGGAGAGGCAGGAGGCCGAAACGGCGACGTCGGTCTTGCCGAGGAAGGGGAAGAAGAAGGGGATCCTAAAGAAAGCCAAACCGATGACGCAAGAGGCTGCGGAAAAGCGGAAGCTGCTCGAGGAATACAGGAAGAAGATCGAGAGCCAGCTGCTGGCTAAGGTAGAGCGAGAGAGGAAGGTACTGGTGATGTGCAGGAGACTGTTTGAAAACGACTCCGTTAGCCTGGAGGAGCTGGAGGAAACGGGCGAGTGGATCTCGATCCAGGACTACGAGGACGCTACGAAGGAACGAGCGCTAAAGGGGCTCTGCGGCTACCCTCTCTGCCATCGCTCCCTGCAAGACGCGTCGAAGCCCGTGGGCAAGTCTCAGATTTTGTTCGAGAGGAGAACGGTGTCCAGCGTCAAGGGGAGGAAGTACTTCTGCTCCGAAGGCTGCGGCATGGCAAGCTCCATCTTCAAAGGCTCCCTGCAAGCCTACCGGCCGATGAAGGACGTCAGTGAGGAGATGGTGAGGCTCCGAGCACCTGGCTTGTCCTCCCTCACTCCCGTCTCTTCGCTCTTCTTTCCTTGAGCTGTTATTTCTATCATCCTCCCTCCTTCCGTCCTCATTGTCCCTCCTCCCGTCCTTCCTCCTCTCTCCTCCCTTCTCCCTCCCCGTACTCCCTGCCGTCCTCTGGCACCCCAACTCTTGATCTTGTATCATGTGTGTGCACTACATCTTGCCTCCTCCGCCATCCCTCTCTATCCCATCCTCTCTGATCTTACCGCTCTGCCCGTAAAGCGCTGTTCTTCCCATCCTCCGCCTCTGTCCTTCCCCCCCTCCCTTTCATTTGTGGTTTCCGAGCAAGCAACTTTGCCTTCCTTCGTCCTTTTCCTCCGTCCTCTGCTCCTCTCGCATCTTCATGTTGCTGTTCGGAATATCGGTCAACCTTCCCCTGCCTGTCAGATGTCGGGAACGGGGGACGACAAACACAAGATTGTTGAGAAGCAGCCGTCTCCTCCAAGCTTCGAGTTCAAGCAAGTTTCTTCTCTCTTTCTCTTCATTCCATGATCCTATTCTCCCCTCCTTCCCTCCCTCCTTGTTTTGTGTCTCTCCGCCGCTCCTCTGCCTTCTCCACGTTCTCCCCTCCTCCAGTCGCCAATGCCTCCCCTCTCCCCCTTCTCTCCCCTTCTTTCTCTCCTCCTAGTCGCCCTTCTGATTGCTTTGGTGCATACAGGCCGGAAAATTTCTCAAGCATCGAGGGGCATCGAGCGAGGGCAGCACAGGAGTCGAAACATTCTCCTACCTCTACCTCGTCCTCTCACCCTCCTCCTCATCCTCATCCTCATCCTCCTCATCGCTCCTCCACGCAAGCGCCAGTGGTCGAGGAGCGTACCTCTGGAGGGAATGCAATTCAGTCAACAGACGAGAAGAGGATACGGTTTGGCGTTCAGCACACTGAAGTGGAGCATGTGATAAAGGAGAGAAGAGCAGCGAAGGATCAGGAGCAGGAGCAGGAGCAGGAGCAGGAGCAGGAGCAGGAGCGGGTGCGGGAAGGGAACGAGGAGACGGAGGAGGACGATGAGGATCCCTGGGATGTTGTTGAATTGATGGAGGTGAATCTTAATCCTCCTCATCATCATCCTCCTCCTCTTCCTCCTTCCTCCTTCCTCCTCCTCCTCCTCCTCCTCCTCCTCCACCACCACCACCACCACCACCTCGTAATCCTCATCTCCATCCTCCTCCTCCACCACCACCACCACCACCTCCTCCTCCTCCTCCAGCCCCCTCTCCTTACTTTCCAACGTTCGTTGCATTCCTTCTCCTCTACTATCGTCTTCTTCCCTCCCCCTCACTTGTCTGTATCGCAGGATGTTACCGACATGCTCAAGAACTTTCGTCTTAAGGCAAATAGCCACATGAAAATCCTCTTAGTGCTCCAAGAATGGTTGCTCCTCCTCTTCCTCTGTCTTGCTCCGCGTTTGACCTCTCTCCTGCTCCACGTTTCCTCCTACACTGTCCCCCATCTCCTTCCTCCCCTAGTCCTCATCTTCTCCCTCCTTCTACCTTCATCCTCATCCCCTTTCTTCTTTGTTTCTCCTCCTACCTGCTCTCTTTGCTCCTTCTCCCCTTCTCTCAATCTTGTTCAGCTTTCATCCCCTCATCTCTTCTGCAGGACTAGCGAGGAAGCCATCAGCCTTCTGGAACTCCCTCCATCTCCTCTCTGCTTCTCCTCTTCTCTCTCCTCCCCCCCTCCATCCCTTGCTCTGCCTTCTCCTCTCCCGCCGCCCAGCCCGATGGCAGGAAAGAAGCAGGAGCTTGTAATCAAACTACTCGCAAGGAGGTGAAGAAGAAATTCCGATGCTCTCCCCCTCCTCCACAAACAATCCTTCCACTTTTATCACCTTCATCCTCCTCCTCCTCGTTATCTTCCTTCGTTTCCGTTTCGTATACATTTCAGCAACTCACCTAGTCGCTCTCTCTCTGAATCCTTCTCTGACATGACGACTACAGGCTTCCTTCAGTGTTGCAGGAGCTCAGGGCCGAAGTAGCCAAGGTGAGAGAGTAGGGGGATGAGGACGAGGGCGAGTGGATGAAACACGTGGGAGGGAGAGGGTGGGGGGAGGGGGGCGGGAGGTGGGAGGGAGGAAGGGGAGGAAGGGGGGGGGGGAAGAGGGAGGTC